TCCTTCCCCTATTGGGGAGAAAAGAAAGGGCCTAATGCAACTAATAATGAGGAAGGGGCCCGTGTAGTGAAAGGAGGCAACACGCTTGTTTTTTTCAGCTCACCAGATAAAGAAATCCGGCCTAGCGTGGGCACAGAGCTCACAGTACGGGTTGTAGAGAACCTGTGTGTCCCTCAAAATGAGCACGGTCTTCATTTCCTAGCAGAAGCATTTCGCTTAGGTGACCTGGCCATCGTTTTGCTTAGAGCTCCCGCTTGGTCCAGTGCGGGCAGATGCTCAAGCTGGAGCAGGACAACTACCTACACTGACTGCGGGTCTCCCCTAATCAATAATGTGATGACAAAACACACAGGCTTCGTCTCTCTCCCTACCCCCACGCCCATCTTCATTATAGAGCAGGGGTGTTTCACGGTGTGGGGTGCATGTTTAAACATGAAGACGGTCTATAAAGAGGGCTTCGCAATGGCTTTCGGTGCCACAGTCCAATGTATAGCCAGCAAATACCGTTATAACTATTAATAATGGGTCCAAAGAAGCTTCTGTGGGTCCAAAGAAGCTTATGAAAACAGTAAGGATAACCAGTTCTTTAGTTAAACTGTTAACTTGAGTAAAAGAGAGAATATTTGTGTTATGTAGCTGTAGAGGGCACAAATAAAATAATCATAAAATATATACTGCCTATCCTCCTAGCTCTGCCCATGTGGCCAGAACATACTTTAAATTCGCTGTCTCCATGGTGATGCTGGAAATGCTCCGGGCAAGGCTGTGAGAGCACCTAGAGCCCTGCATTTACATGTAAGAGTGAGGGGTGTTACACACACACACACACACACACAGAACATGTAGCCCATTCGCATTTTAATTCATCCTAATAATTTACCCAAAGTTATTAGATTTGGGAGTCCAACCAGTGACTTTCATACAAAGAGAGACTACAGTCTGACCAACTGAGGGCCCCACAGCGCCTACATCCATCACCAAGCACTCTCTGGGGTGGCCCTGGTGGCACTGAATGGCATAGGGAGGCACAGGATGACAACGACACTCTCACAGAACCAGGTTTCCCGTTCAGAGGAAAGGATAGCACGGTCATGCCCTGCCATGGATAGGCACAACGTGAAACCCCGGCTTTCACGAACACGATTTCAAATGGAGATTTCTCTAACGACACATGACTCATGCTATGGATGGACACGATGTGGGCTTTAGCCAAGAGAATTTCAGTTTCACTCTGAACTCACTACCTTTTGGACCAAAACCAGCAATTGCAGTAAGAAACAAAAAGCTTGCGTTGCATGCATCACCTTCCTCCCTGGCCAGTGCCTACAGACACCTGGGAGGCCCCTACTATGCTGACCTCCATGCACACAGACCCCCACAAATGTGCTTGCTGTCCTCAGCCAGGTCAAGCCCACTAAACATGTAAGACTGGTGCGATGTATGATATGACCATAGGTGACATGGAGCAGGCAGGTGGTCATTTAGGATGATTTGGGGCTCCCGAGAAGGCCCCCATGCCCCAAATAATACCTCCTGCACCGGCTGGTTGACGACTGAAATTCCACGACTAGAGAGTCACTCCTCTGGTTTAAGATGTCTTCACCCCTGTAAGAAACGCAGACACCACAGAAGGGAAAACATTGAAACCTGACCAGCCCTTGTATCTGAGCGTGCGTGAGCTGGTCTGCTTTTTGCCCCCGAGGGCCAAGCAGAGGGCACAAGGACATCAGGGTGCAAAGGGAGCCCAAAAAGGGGGCGTTGTAAGAAAAGGGAGGGAGTGTAGCAATGAAAACAAATTGATTAACCCCACCTGTTAGCAACCTGGCTTACATGCTTAAGACGAAGACATCAGGATAAAAGCCAAAATCAATTAGGCAGATACCAGACTCACTGCATCTCTAGGGTCAGGGGAAAGGATTGCTTCCCAATATGAAGTGAGAGGTGAAGAGGACGCTGCTCCTCCTTAACAAGATTGGCCTCACTCCCCAACCCCTTTAAGCTTGAAGGTCACCCAAAGCACCCCAGGGTGCAGATCGCTGCTAGCTAAAGTTCTCTGATCCGGTCCTGCCTGTATCCCCGGCCTATGCGTTCTAATACTAAGAAGGACTGGACACCCTCAGGACACCTGCCCATAATATACCAACAGAAATGCACTGGCCGTCTTTTTTTTTTTTCTTAATTTTTAAAAGATCCTCACCCCAGGACTGATTCTTAGGCAAGAGTGGGGCGGGGGGGTGGGGAGGGGAGGAATAGAGAGGGAGAGAAATATCGACAAGAGAAACATCGATTGGCTGTCTTCCTGTATGCACCCTGACCAGGGATTGAACCTGCAATCTTTTTGGTGCATGGGATGACACTTCAACCAACTGAGCCACCCGGCCAGGGCTGCACAGGCCATCTTTTATGGGACCACCCCAATGTGGTGTCCTGCAGTACCCTCCACACGATCAGATGAAAACCAAATGACCAGAATCATCCCCCAAGAAGGGGACAACTCTTCCTCAACGCCTCCCTCTCCAGTGGTATCTCATTTCCTCCCTTAGTGAGCAGCCCTGTGGTCTCCACCAAGCATTCAGCTCTTCCCATGTACCCACCCTTATCTTTCACTAGAACCGTACCCCCACGTGCCGTGTCAGCCTAGGCAGCTGTAATGCCACCTGCTTAAAGCAAATGTCATTGTAAATGGAAGCCTGGACTTGCCATCCCCACCTCTCCCTCAGCATCCGAACTTTGATCTCTTCTTCCAATACTACACTTTTTTTTAAAAAATATATTTTACTGATTTTTTACAGAGAGGAAGGGAGAGAGATAGAGCGGTAGAAACATCGATGAGAGAGAAACATCGATCAGCTGCCTCCTGCACATCCCCCACTGGGGATGTGCCCGCAACCCAGGTACATGCCCTTGACCGGAATCGAACCTGGGACCCTTCAGTCCGCAGGCCAACGCTCCATCCACTGAGCCAAACCGGTTTCGGCCAATACTACACATTTTGACTCATAAAGACAGTATCTTCTCGACAGCAAGTCCACGGACCCACTGATTACAGGTGGCATCTGTGCGGGCGTCTGTAGTCCCAGGGGATGCCTTTCTTTTGATCTGTTGCCATTAACACTCAGCCCTCTTCCCTCCTCTGGGTTCACACAATGTGAGGACCACGCCATTTGCTTTATTTTTGTTGTTGTTCGGCAGTTTATTTTGTTCATCAGATTTCACATACAAGCGAGATCATACAGTATTTGTCTGTCTCTGACGGGCTTATTTCCCTTAGCGAACCCTTCCCATGACAGGCTGACAGCCCAGCCTCACTGCAGACTGAAGCGACGGAGAATTCTGAGTCCTGGCACGCCACTATACACGCTAGACTCAGGCAGAGCCTCGTGTCACGAGCTGTGTTTCTTTGTTACTAGCAGATGGTAAAATTTCCATCATCTGTAAAGCTGTTCCTGGTTTCTGTGAAAATTACAAGAACTACACTCTTCAAATGTATGTCACCAAATGTATTCATTCATTTTGCATGAAAATGGAGGCAGCCAACTGCTACAATGTTATTTATTATTTATTGCAGATGTATAACATTCTAGAAAACGAAGATTTTTAATAAACTCCTTTAAAAAACAACAACTTATTTTTAGAATTAAAAAATGAACAATAAAAATGTAGTAAGAACTTCCTGGTCATTTCAATTGATTTGTTTTCATCTACATATCGAAGTATGCCGCAGGGTTCAGGCAAAAGTCAACTGTGCCAGTTAAGTAGGAATAGATGTTCAAACGTGATCTTATCATCATTCCCAACATTAATGTAGTCTTGAACGTATGGTAACAGTATGGAACTAAATGACGGTAATACCTTTGAGCCTGATGGCTTCTCCCTCCCACTGAGTTCAAAACACTTCCCTTACCTGTCCCCTTATTATCCTACAATGTCCCTTGGAGAAAGACAGTGACAGTAGATATTGCTAGATTAACTTTTTAAAGATCAAGAAACTAGGATAAAAGTTTCATCATTAGCCCTAACCGGTTTGGCTCAGTGGATAGAGTGTCAGCCTGCGGACCGAAGGGTCCCAGTTTCGATTCCGGTCAAGGGCATGTACCTTGGTTGCAGGCACATCCCCAGTAGGGGGTGTGCAGGAGGCAGCTGATCAATGTTTCTCACTCATCAATGTTTCTAACTCTCTATCCCTCACCCTTCTTCTCTGTAAAAAATCAATAAAATACATCTTTTTTAAAAAGTTTGATCGTTAAAATGGTATCATAAAGAAGACATTATTTGCCAGTGATACATCTGATAAGGGGTTACTTTCCAAAATGCATAAAGAACTCATACAACTTAACAAAAGAAAGACAAATAATCCAATTAAAAAGGGGGAAAGAACCTGAATAGACACTTCTCCCAAGTGGACATACAGAAGACCAAGAGACATATGAAAAAATGTTCAAAATTACTAATCATCAGTGAGATGCAAATCAAAACCACAATGAGGTAACACCTCACACCTGCCAGAATGGCTACCATCAACAAATCATCAAATGACAAGTGCTGGCGAGGATGTGGAGAAAAGGGAATCCTAGTACACTGCTGGTGGGAATGCAGACTGGTGCAGCCACTGTGGAGAACAGTATGGAGTTTCCTCGAAACATTAAAAGTGGAACTGCCATTTGATCCAGTGATCCCACTTATAGGAATATATCCTAAGAAACCCGAAACACCAATCAGAAAGAATGTACGCACCCCTATCTTCATAGCAGCACAATTTACAATAGCTAAGACCTAGAAATAGCCCAAGTGCCCATCAGCAGATGAGTGGATAAAAATACTTGGTATATTTACACAATGGAATACTATGCAGCTATGAAAAAAGAAGGATCTCATATCCTTTGAGACAGCATGGAGGGAGAGTATTATGCTAAGTGAAATAAGCAAGTCAGAGAAAAAAAGTATCATATGATCTCTCACTTATGTGTAGAATCTAAAAAAACAAAATAACTGACGAATAAAATAGATCCAGAGACGTGTAAACATGGAAGAGACTGATGAATCACAGAGGGAAGGGGGTGGGGAGAGATCAACCAAAGAACTTATATGCACATATGCATAACCCATGGACACACAATAGTGCAGTGAAGGCCTGGGGGCGAGGGGTGAGGTGGGAGCAGGTTGCACGGGATCAATGGGGGATAAAAGAGCACATCTGTAATACTTTCAATAATAAAGATAAATTTAATAAATAATAAATAAATAATATTATGCAAAAGGAACAGCAATATCCACAGTTCTATCTTCCTGTCTGTCCAGGGAAGAGGAGCTGCCCATGAGCCAAGGGAGGCCACACTTGCTACACCCTGATGTCTACAAGCCCAATGTTCACAAATGGAGCTAATGAGCCCCATGTAGCAACAAAGGACACGCAAAGCAAAGGGAAGCTCTTCCTCACGCAGAAAGAACTAAAAGGAGAATTCTGGAATAAAGCCTGGGCTGTTGAAATTTTTAATACTCCCAAAACAAAAGACAAAAATCAGTCTCTCTCCACAGCGCACACCTGCAACACAGACGACTGGACTAGAGGACAGATAGAGAAGGAACTATAGATTCAAACGCAAGGCAGATGGTAGCACCTTTTTCACCATATCCGAGCCATTCATCAGCCTGCTCTAACCTTTGCCCGCGCTGCCCTGCTGGATGGAAAGGCTCTGGGCTCATGCGGCCCACCTCCAGCTGAGCCCAGTCCAGCGCTGACCCAGCTGACCCCGCTGGCCTGGAGAGACGGCGCTCCTCCCTCCTGCGCGGTC